TTGCACTACCTCATTGTAAGTGTTACGTCAATGTGCGCATGCGCGGTCTACTTATCGCAGGCGACAGACGCATACGCAATTAAGCAAACGGCAGGCGCGGCAAAAACAAAAAAAAATGTATACCAATTGTTGCTCATTGCGGGCTTAATTTCTGCTCTGGCTGCGGGTGGCACCTACTTATCCACACATGCACGCACACACATTTTAATATCAAGTCAAATAGACAGGCGCGTAGCCACCAACAGCATACATTTGAATATTAAACAGCTTTTGTTGCGCTGCGGGGTTACACACGCACGTACACATAGATATTCATACACACCCATATTTAATACATACACAGCATTGATCGACAGCACGTCGCAGCACACGTACACTACAATGAGGTGTAAAAAACTCTCACTTTTTAATGAATTTCGCATTTGTTGATTTTTGAATCTGCTGAGGCTATAAAATACAACAACAACAATAGCAACACTGCTTATTTACATAGTAACCGCGACGACATATTGAGCTTGTGCACAGTTAATTATGAACTTCTTTGCCATAATGTGTCTTTTTATTGCTCTTTTACTGCCGAAGAGTGCCAGTTGCGTTGCGAATTATTCAAAACACCTTATTTTAAATGAAGGTTTTGCAGAGAACTGTGCATAAACTACAAAACCATTTTATTGTCGTTTAATTTATGCATGTAAATTAGAAAATTTATGCTTAATTGAAACAAAAATCATTTTTGCACATCGAGCGTTGCGGAATATTGTATCAGCGAAACATTTTTGGTGGCAGTGAAGGAGCTCTCAGTACTATTATGTCAAATGAAAGGTGTTCACACTTCACAAAGTGAAGTAGTAAGAAATACTTTGTCAAAAGTTGGAAGTACTTATCAATATATTAGGTTGTCAAAAAAGTCTTGCGGTTTTTGCGCTAGTTGGCGCTGAGAGCGCGTTGTTATAGTTGAATTCGTCGCACCGCGTCATTCTATACCTTTTTGAAAAGCACATTTCACGCGCTAACACGAGTTTGATTGATTACCGTTTCCTTTAAGTCGTTCGTGAGTTATAGCGTCACAAACTTGGAGCAAAATGAAGAGAAAATACGGCATATTTTACAGCACTACTACGATAAAGGCAAAAATACATCTCAAGCCGCCAATAAAATTTGTGCAGTTTATGGACCCGATACAGTTTCCATTTCCACTGCACAACGATGGTTTCAACGTTTTCGTTCTGATGTAGAGGTGGTCGAAGATGCGCCACGCTCCGGAAGGTCGTCGAAAATTGCGATCAAATCGCTGAATTGATCGAAAGAGGCCAGCATAAAAGTTTTATGAATAGTTTAAAATTCAATAAAAATACCGCAAGAAATACCGCAAGACTTTTTTGATTTATATTAATTAATCAAGTTTCGACGACAGTGCAGCATTTCGGCTCACCATTCAGCTACCATATATAGGTATAGTGACTGAATGTTGTTTTCGAGCTACTGGAACTTTGCTGGTTGATTGGTGTAAGCCTTTGATTGAACATACCCTCAAAGAAAATAATCCAGAAGYGTTAAATCGCATGATCTTTGAGACTATTTGACTGGGCCCTTTCTCGAAATTAATGAGTCAGAAGAGTTTGCTCGCAATGTGTCCATTTTTAGATTTTTGAGACATGAGATGGCGCACCATTCTGTTGAAAATAAGAATTATCCGCGTTGATTTCAGCAAATTTTGGGAGGAAAAAATCGGTCAAAAACAACAACCGATTCATTTCGAAGGWAATAAAGTCCCATTACGCCGCCATACCACAATCCGCAACAAAGGGTMAATTTTTGGGAATGCAATTGYGTTTCTTGAACGCGAATTCGACACGCGGATTTGACCGACCCCAATAGAAACACTTTTTTTTTATGTTGACGAAGCTTTGTAGCCTGAAATGGAACTAATCTGAGAAGATAACTTTTCAAAGAACGTGAATTTGCATAATAATATTGGTCAATCTTCAAGCGCTGCACCAAAGTGCAACATAAGATGACGGAATAACAAAACTTATTGAATGAACTGAAGAAATTTTACACAAATTCGTAAACGAACAAMGCTCCGTTGAGCTGTTATAAGCACGTCATCCCTATTGATAGACGAATTATAGAAAATATTAAGTGAAATCTACTGTTCCCAGACAAATTACTGATTTTCTTTTTAATATTCTTAGTTTAGTCATACCCATTAATTTTTCCGTTTTTCTTTTTTTTTTTTTTTTTTTT